AGAATTGAAGGGCAGTTTCGAAAACTGAAATAAATTTCCTATTACATGCTGCTGCAACTTTTCGGAAAAAGAATTTATGATTTTTTGGAAAATTGACGGCTAAATTAGAAATATTCACGGAATGACTAATGTTAAGCATGATGTTTACAGTTCGATATACCCATACAGAAGAACTCTGTGCAGTTTCATCTCGATCTAGCGAACCTTTCTTTGTTTCAGTCAAACTTTTGCAAAAAAATTAAATGGTCACGTTTTTTGTGCTTAAATACTTCATAATCATGATTAAAATGGATTTTTTTTTAAGTTTTCTCACATTTTTACCTCAAATAACGTTTAAATTGATGAGAAAAAAAAATTAATTTTTTCCAGAGAAGAAAAAAGGTAGTTTTGAAAAAACTGTTATTTTAGGTGATTACAGACCGCACAAAAATTAATTAGAAATTTGTCCAAAAAAAACAAAAAAAAAACTCGAAAATTTTTCGAATTTTTTTTTTTTTTTTACATCACTTTAAACGTTATTTGCGGTAAAAATGTGAGGAAACCTCAAGAAAAAAATTTGCAACATTTTTTTCTCGCGCTATTTCTCAAAATTGCATGATACCGTAGCCTCTAAAAAATTTCGACCGAAAGATCTAAAAACTAGAATTTTAGAGCTTCAAAATGCTTTTTTTTAATTCCCGATGCGACCATTTTATCACCTAAATACAGTGTGTCAAAAATCACGGAAAAATTTCGGAAATTCTTTTGACCCTTTAATTCTTTGTATAATAGGTCATGTATCAATGCATCTTGTATGTACGTATGTAAGAGATCGCCCTAAGCAAAATTTCCACGTGACAGCACCCGTCACCAACGCTCAACCCCTTACCTGGATTCCTGCTTCTCAGACATGTCTTCTGGTTGATACGGCACACTCCCAACAGAATGAAACCGGAGCCATCTAGGTAAACGAGATCGCGAGCGTCTAGTTGGATGTTGCTTACCTGGAAATAAAACGTGAGGCTTTATTGGCATGTCAGATGGCGCGTATTCCGGTAGCAGGGGCAAATTCAATTTCGGTAGCGTAAAATATCGGCGCCGAAATACGGAATACCACGCAATCGAAAAGCATAAACCGTAAAATTTACAATAGTCTCGTAAGATGTGGGCAAATTGAAATGGTTAATGTTTTGGCACTGTATAAACTAAATAAATTTGGTGTTTTAAATTGTCAAGGGACAAGGAAGCGAAAAAAATAATGCAAAGTAAGCTTCATTTATGACGAAGCTGTGCCAAAGACCAATTTATGCCTGGTTATTTTCCAAACGTACTTAGATAAAGAATGTGGCGAAGCGTCAGGTTAGTTATGTGGGTCCTGTATGCGGAAATGTTGGTCGTGGAGAGAATTATTCTGTGATTAAAAGCCAGACGTTATTTTAATTACAACTTACTTACTTTATCAATCAGAAACGCTAAAAACAAATAAAATATATAATTATAATAATTTGTGTGCAATTTTTTTTTAAATATAAACGTGACTGTTTTTCTAAATTGGTAAAAATATATCTCCTCCATACATATATACATTGTTTTTTAGTCCCGTTAGTTAGCAGTCAGAAAATACCACTTTTTCAAGTGTGGTAATTAACGTTGTTACTGCACCTGGTAATGATATATCCCGGGATATATCATTCTACCGAGTGCACTAATGAGTTGTTCATGTTCAAACGGATATCAGAGGTGTACAATTTCTATTTGCCTTTAAAATAAGTCCAGTAATGGTGGTTAATATCTTTTAATTCTAACACACTGCTGATTAAAACGGAACTATGTAGATTGTAGATAGTTGCATTAACTTACCGTTAAAACTAATTGAAGCTGGGAGAAATTATATTAAAAAAACTTTACCTTCGGAGCAAAATAAAATTTAGAATTCTTTTGTATAATTTTATTAAAAGATAAGGGATATTGAAGAAACCACGTCGAGCTATCCACTTCAGTTTTGTCTCAATTGCAATTACAAATTATTAATTCCGACGTTCTACTTATAAAAAGTTTAATAACTTCAGTAACAAAGTATTCACTACTGAAACATCTCGGCGATTCTTTTTAATCTTATTTTTGAGTCATATAATTACGTTAAAGATAAAAGATAGATATCAAAGGAATGTGTAAATGGCAATATTGTAAAAGTAGGTTATTCTACCCTGTAAGACACCACCCATATTTCTGACCAGTCCGATTTTAATAACACTTTTTTGTATCCTAATTCTCAACGTTCCTGTGAAGTCATTAGTACACACGGGAATCAGCCGATGTTGGTGTAGGTCATAGAACCGTGAATCAACTGTGTGTCCTTGACACTCCCATATGTTTAGTTTGATGTTGAATAACAGCCAGTACTACTTAAGTACTAATTCAGAGATTTTTTTTTCAAATGATTTCTTGAATGTATTGATATATAAAATTATATTCGAAGAAATATTTGACGTACTAGATGGGACTTATAAATTGGTGATCATTGTTAAATATATTATGGTATAGACATACATTGCGAGTTAATTTAGTAATTAAAGATTGTATAGCATGACTACATATTTTCCGCGAATCTTATTTCTATACAATAAACTATGAAAATAAATGCACCTAGCTTAAAAAACAATTATATATTTTGACGCCTTTCAAATAAACCGTCAGTGCCTAAATTTAAACTTTTTCGCACATATTCGTAAGGATTGCTCAGCTATAAAAACAAGAACAGATGAAAAAATATGAGGAATAATTATGCTTTTACAATTTAATGTGGTTTTAACACCATGAATTTCTCAGAGTTCTAATTAAATCATACCGCCCTTCTGTACATTTTTATGAAGATAAAATATAGGACCAAATTGCATTAGTAAACGTTTATTCACGGCATGTTGTATCTTTGTTACATTTAATCCGATTCGTGGCTTCTCTATCTGATTAAAAAACCTGCCGGAGCCTTCGAATTAATATGAATGTATGGAAGTTTCAATACATTTCGATTAATTATAATTAATCGAATAAAATAAATAATAATAAAATAATGATTATTATTTGTAATAATTTTAAGATAACGCTTTTTTATTTTACTTATTCCGAGTTCTATTTCCTAAAAATTAAAAAAATATGATTTTCTATTCCTGAAAAAAAAAATTTAAAATGCATCCGTTGTTATTATCTCTACATGAGTGTAGTAGGTGAAATTTGTGGATATGCTACTTTAGTCATGGATTAACCAATTGAGATAACGTTGCAGAGTATATTTCATATTAAACTATCATCAGAATTAAAAACGGTTTGTCCTAACAATTATTATCTAATTTCGCTAAGCTCGCTAATTCACTCTGTAAGACTTTCAAGTATCTCAGTTTTATAGGTATTTTCGTACGGGATTTTTGCAGCATTTGTAGACAATTTTATATAATTTATAACAAATGTACTAAAAAAAAATTATTTACTTTAAAAAGGACATGTCACAAAGACTATAAAAAAATTACTTCTTTGTTTGTTAGTGGTCTTCAAAATAGTTTATAAAAAAACAACTCCAAGATGAAAACAAATTCGTTGTCATGTTCAAAGATTCCATGGCATGCTACATGTTCATATTTTCTTTCACTGCATCAGAGATTTCAATAGAACCGATCGTTTTCTTGGATAGCGCCATTGAAAACTACTGAATTGAAAGGAAGAACGTATCTAAACAATTTCTTTTAGCAAACACGCACTTAAAATAAATCGGTGTATTTATTTTACCTTGAATTTATATCTAAAACTAACCTTCATCGAATCAAACGAACACACATACACAAAAGAATATTTGCTATTTCGAACGCTCACTGTTTTTTTTCTTTTCGACTAGGTACGGAACGTGCGTGATGGATATATTAGATATTAGATATGATCAAACAAAACCCAGATATTGCTTGATAAATAATAACAGTGCTTTGGAATTTTTCGCTCTAAACGTCACACCATAATGCACACTTAACTTTTATCTGAGCATATCAATATATTGTATTTACATTATTTGATAAGGTGAATTTACCGTGAATCACGAAGAATTATAAGTTGGGTGCAAATTCTATTTATTAATAATCGCTATATTCAAATGGATTTATTCAGTGATATTTAATTTATAACCTGTTTTTATATTTTCCCATTTTTTTAAGTATTTTGTTACTCTTTTATTTTAACACCCTGTATATTATAACGGCCGTCGAAAACAAAATTCTCGCGCATTGGTCCATCCGCATAAACAATCGCGAAATGTAAAATAGACCGATGACTTTGTGTTTACAAACGTAAGAAAACTTCCGAGCCAAGAATGCACGAAAGCAGCACCAAAATAAATATTTCGCGTAATCGAGATGAATTATTTTGGGTTAATGTGTTTGGTGTAGCGAGCTCTGTTTATGATATAAAAAACTCCATGTAGAATTATACGGGGTGTCCGGAAATTACACGCGAAGCAAGCCCCGAGAAAAATAAAGCGAAATATTGACCCGATTTTAAAATTCTCTTTTATACTCAAATTCTACTCTATTTTTAATTGTTTTGAAAGGTACTAAATACGTTTTTCCTCAGAGATTGTTATTTTTAATGATTTTTAATGTTAAACGTTTATTTTCGCGAAAAACTGCAAATACAAAAATGATAACCAATTTGTTAGTCAATAAGGACCATTTAAGCTCTTTAGTGCATATGTTATTCCTAATAAGACTACCAGATTAAACAAACTAACATGACTGAATAAGGGCTCTGCCTTATGGTTATGTATCATTATTTTTATAAGAATAGCTCTCAAAATTGTTTGCTCATAATTTCGGGACACCCCGTATTTAACCTATGATACCAGAGACTTGCCTGAGAGGATACAGGAATGTGCAAATTAAGTTTGTGGAAATTTTCCTCGAAATTCTTTGAGAAATACATCCTCGCCTTTGTCTTTGCCCACGTGTGTAGTAGATACGTTGACAGAGAATGGAACCCCTTACTTATTTCAATGCAGACAAGAAAGTTCTGTGCGAAGGTGGAATATAAGAAATTGCGAGGAGAAACAATTTTCAGGTAATCGTGTTTACAATATATGTAACATTCTCAATATACGAGCTATAGCAATAAGCACGGACTTTTTGTTCCAAATGCAATCTTGGAGGAATATCGAAGCATTGAGTTACGAATGGCAAATCCGTGCGGCTGAATATTTTTAGAATAAGAGAAATAGACGTATATTTTTCAAAATCTTGGTTTGGTAAACATTAGGTCGACTTATAAATTCGCGGGTATCTACTATAAACGTAATATATACAATTTAGATTCTAATGAAATACCAAATAAAATATCCGATTCTAATGGAAACGATAAATAAGAAGTCTGTCGGTAACGTTGCGTGCTAATCTCCGATATTTAACTGCATCTTTTCCAGAGATGTCTCAGAAAACGTCAATCCAATATGAGGTTAGTAAATTTTATTTCAGAAAGCTTGATTTAAAAAAAGAGGTTGTGTAAACTGTTTAAAATTGTCAACCGCCACTGCGTTTATACAAACAAAAATTTCTCATGGCCATCAGTACAAAATTATCAGGACATAACATAATACTGCAAAATATACAAAATAAATACCAGACAAAATCAGTCAGATGGATTTGGCACATTATCTAAGAGCACCTTCCCAAGACTCGAGGTTCGCTGAGTGCTCGCGCTCATAGATCAAGCTGTCATTGTCCTGCATTGATTCCACTACAACTACCGCGAGCGTCAAACCTCGCTTTACCACCTGACAGCTGATTTATGACCGAGTACGCTCGCCGAACATCGCGCCGCGTGGGAGCGCCTTAACACAACTACATTACATTGCCGACACATCCTCTTTGTCACATAATGGGTCGGTGTGAGCACTAATAAATCATTTTTACCTCCCCTGAGAATGTCCAGCAAGCCAGCGAAGCTGTTAATGCGGAACATGTTGAGGAAACAC